CCCTCCCTCCTCACCTCTCTTATATCTGTAAACTGTTGGCTCCTCAGTCTATCTGATCCTTCCCTTTATAAGCTTTTTTTCTGCTCCTTGGAGGAGTGGGGGAGAAGTTCAGGGAGCACCATAGCTTCAGCAGGAGCATTTAGTCTTCTGTCAGGCTTGCTGGGCAGTCTCTAACCACCTCAGGACCACCTGAATATGTATTTCAGTGAGACTGAGCCAGCTGCATAATATACTACAGCTAAGAGTTTTCTGTGTGCCTTGCATCATCTCTTGTGTTCTTTTGGTAGCATATTGAAGTGCGCTACAAACAGGACTTTTGTGCTTATCAGTGTTTTAAGACTCCATTAGAATACACTATGTGCAGTATACTGAACGACCTGACCATATACTGATTACTCAATCCCCTTGTTGATTGCTCATGGTTGCTCGGAAGAATAGCTGGCATTTCAACAATTCTGTGACTTTATTTTGGAAGTCTGGCTATTCCGGGGCTATCCCTCCACCCCACACACACTTCCACACACTCAGTTTGGCACATCAGTTTCCCTGGTTCTTTTTCAAGGAGTGTCCGTGTGTGTGCTCCACTTTAGGTAAATGTGTGTGTCTGCACCTGTGATCGGAGAATTTCAGTGGCAGTGCCCATTTGGGTCACACATGTGCTCTCCCCGTCTTGTGCCACTCCTGGCAGCTACATAGCGCTATGCGACCAAACCAGCCTCAATTCCTTTTCATCTGTCCTTGAGCTGTTCGTGGTAGCGCCTCTTTGCTTGCTTCACGTTTACCTCTGAGAGTTAGCGTTTATATAGTTTTAGAGTAGAGTTAGTTAACTATAGCTACCCTCGTCTCTCATCGTTTATTTTCTTTCATCCTTAGTGTACTTTTAACCTTCTTCACTTGGGGGAAGGCTACTGACAGGGGCATACTCGGATACCTGGGATTTAAACAATGCCTTTCTTACTGGGAGGCAATCCCGGTCAGTGATGGGCATTCTCAGTGTGTCCCATGTCTGGGCGAGACACACGTATCTCAGAAGTGCCCCCATTGCCACAACCTCAAGGCTTGCACCAGAAAATCAGGGGACTTAAGTTGAAACTTATCCTGATGGAAAAGTCACTGCACCTGGCTTCTGACCCCCAGACCGCTTTGCACCCTGGACACCAGTCTTCGCCAATCCCAGTGACCGCCTCCGGCAGACATTCCCCACCACCTTCAAAAAGGAAGTCCTCTAAAAAGGTGGACAAAAAGCAGGCAACAACCTCCCCTACCAGGGAACCAGCTAAAAAGGAAGAAAAAACTGGCTCATTCAACACTCGTGGTACTGACCACAATGCTGTTGAGCCCCTCCGAGTGGGCGGGATCCTCCAATACTGCTGGTACCACGAAAGCCAAAGACCCTAAGGGGGTGGTCTCTGAGAGGAGTGGCAAAGAGAAGCTTACCACCTCCTCCATTGTACTGATGGAGCCGCTTAAATGTGTGGCATTGGGCAGCTTAGCATTGCTGTAGTCTGCTGCGTGATGTACCAGTCACCTAGTGCATAGCACAGCCAGATCAGTACCGACAACCGCTACAACTTCAGCGGCACCAACAAAAACGTCCTCGGTACCGATGCTTGTGGTACCTCAACAATTCCTTTTCCACAAGGACCTTCCAATTTCTGCAACACCAGAATCTCCCCTTCTTGGTACTGATATTACCCCAGCATTCTTGATACAGTGCCAATCTACACCCCCATCCAGATAGGCCCCTCCTTTCTCCAGTGAGGAGGAGGATAAGGAGGAAGGGGACCTTTACTTCTCATCCATTCAGGTAACCACCAGACCTGGTCCACAGGAACAACCCACATATCACCCCAGGGTTAATACCCATTGGTGGTATGGACATCCATGGAAGAGACTTTTGATCAGGAAGTCACCCTACCGACCAATATCTCTTCATCCTCTCTGGACGAAGCCGTCATGCTTCCTCCGTCCCCAATAGCTGATGACTTTAGACAATTCCAGGAGCTATTTAAAAGGATTGCTTACTCACTCAAGATACCCTTGGAAGAGGTTGCAGAGTCTCAACACAAGCTGTTAGACATTTTACAAACATCAACCTCATCAAAGATTGTGCTCCCCATAAATGAGGCACTCATGGATCCAGCCAAGATAATCTGGCATGCCCCCTGCAGCGATGCCACCCACTTGTCAGAGATAAGAAGTACAACGTCCCCTCTAAGGGTCCGCAAGATATCACTACAAATACTCAGAAGAAAATCCATAGACATAGGACCAAATCCTGCAGAGAATTAAGCATGTGCGTATCTTTAAGCATGCAAGAAGTCCAGTGGGATTAGTTATTCATATGCTTAAACCTTTGCTGGATCAGGGCTATAAGCTTCATTATTGCTTGTAGAAAATTTATAGTAGACATTGAGTTAAGTGCTCAGATACTGTGGTGATGACTACTATAGAAATATGTACAAACAAATGTATTCTTGATAACTTCCTCCTACCCTCTCTCTTCCTTTCGGTGACAGAAGCCACAAAACCAAGCATATGAACCAGCTAGTCATGTTAGGTTCCTCCTTTTCCTTTTGGTTAACCACAGAAGTGGTGACTTATTTTATTTTTAGATTGGATTCAGTTATATTCTTAAATAACAGTAACAAATTATATCTAGATAAGATCTTGGTTTACTCTTGTCCCTCTTTGTTTTGGGGAGGGTGGGGTAGTGGAGTTCATTTGTGTACAAGTGGATTGTCATATCTTGCAGAAAATATTAAACATGTCTTGTTAAAATGTTAATTTTTTCTTATTTTTACAGGTGGCGACAAAGTGATAGATGTAATTGATGTGGCAAGGCAGGCAGACAGTAAAATGAAGCTTCATAATTATATTAAGTATTTCATGAATCCTGATCGACCAAAAGTATTAAATGTGATCAGTCTGGAGTTTTCAGACACAAAGTGAGTAAATGACTGAGACAACTTGACTTGGACTCCTTTGAAGTAGAAAGTAGATTTTGCTAAAACAAAGAGTAAATGTAGAAGTATAAGTAAATAGTACTCTAAAATAAATGAAATGGTTTCAACAGATGGCTCAGGCAGTAGTGCTATATGGAGGGCTTTGGGATGTATGGCCACTGGGAAGCATTCATGGACAGAGGACTGTTCTCTCGGGTTGGAATTCACCTGAGTAAGGAGGGAAATAGACTTCTAGGATGGAGGCTGGCATAACTGATTAAGAGAGCTTTAAACTAAGAATTTGGGGGAGATGGTTGGGAGATGTCCAGGTAATCTCCACGCCGGAATTTAACATTGAGAGGGAAGAAAATGAAGCAAGAAAGAATACAGCTGTGGGTATGAGAATGGACATAAGGAGGAAGGGTAGTGTAGATACCAGTCTAATAGGTAATACTGGTGGTAGAATATCTGTGCCTAATTGGGTAAAGAATATCAGTGAAGCCAAACGGCAAAAATTAAGATGTTTGTACACTAATGCGAGGAGCCTAGGTAACAAAATGGAGGAACTAGAGTTACTGGTGCAGGAAGTGAAACCAGATATTATAGGGATAACAGAAACATGGTGGCATAGTAGTCATGACTGGAGTACAGGTACTGAAGGCTATGTGCTGTTTAGGAAAGATAGAAATAAAGGCAAAGGTGGTGGAGTAGCATTGTATATCAGTGATGAGGTAGATTGTAAAGAAATAAGAAGTGATGGAATGGATAAGACCGAGTCTGTCTGGGCAAAAATCACATTGGGAAAGAAAGCTACTAGAGCCTCCCCTAAGATAGTGCTTGGGGTGTGCTACAGACCACCAGGATCTGATTTGGATATGGATGGAGACCTCTTTAATGTTTTTAATGAAGGAAATACTAATGGGAATTGTGTGATCATGGGAGACTTTAACTTCCCAGATATAGACTGGAGGACAAGTGCTAGTAATAATAATAATAGGGCTCAGATTTTCCTGGATGCGATAGCTGATGGATTCCTTCACCAAGTAGCTGAAGAACCAACAAGAGGGGATGCCATTTTAGATATGGTTTTGGTGAGTAGTGAGGACTTCATAGAAGAAATGGTTGTGGGGGACAACCTTGGTTCGAGTGATCATGAACTAATTCAGTTCAAACTAGATGGAAGGATAAACAAAAATAGATCTGGGACTAGGGTTTTTGATTTTAAAAAGGGCTAACTTTAAAGAATTAAGGAATTAGTTAGGG